GTCGCATACTTACCACTTCCTAATTCAATTCAAAACCTGCGCTGGTGACTGCCTAGTCATGTCTGTGACCACTCACCATCCACCGAACGAAGCCGTACGAATGGGACACACTATCCAAACATCCACAGCAAACATTTCCTGGAGACGAAAAACGGCAGCAGTCGTGCCCAGTATGGCGTGCTGCGATGGCCGACATCGTTGGGCATAAAAAGGTGAAGGACGACCCAGCCAGGACCAGCCACCAACAGAGAGCATAATTCAAATACGGAACGACCAGTGCCTCATTTCACCCGGCTGCGAACGACAGTCCTCCGCACCGCTTCGGCCCCTTCAGACCGTTTGTCCTTCCTGTTCTACCCGGCCCCGGGCCCGTTCAGGCATGGTGCCGGGGCAGCCATTGGCCACCGATCTGGTAACCGGGCTGAGGTCGTATGGTCCAGTGACGAATGCCACGGACGCCCGTGCAGGAATTCCAATGAATCGCGCTGTTGCAGAGCAAGTATGCAGTATGTGCAAGACTAGCCACTGCCAATAGCAGCGGCTACTGCTTTTTGCTATGCTAAGACTCGGGAAGCCACAGCAGAAAACATGCACAACACTCTCGCTACGACAGTTTGGCGTGCCAGTTCGATGACAACCTACGCGCTAACTACGCAATGGTAAATCATCATTAAATTACATTAATTTCAACTACACACAAACTGGATCAGTGCTGTTTGCTGAGAACGGCAGTTGTGCTGAAAATTGATATCGAATGCCGCTCCAAATTATACCCGTTCCCGACGAAATCGATCACGCACCAACCTCCATTCCATTTCGATTCACTCCCATAATCAGAGAGCTCACAGCTCACGGTCTCTGTTCAGGTGACCTTTCAGCCAACTGTTACGAGCCGTCAACCCGTCCGACGTGACCGTGACCCTTGTGACGGCCGTGACGGCCGAGTAACGTCACGTCACGTCACAGGCAGTGACGGCGCGAGGTACAGAGCCTCTGCGATCGACCGTGTGCGCGCCGCACGAGCCACCGTCGGACAGATTCTCAGGGCAGGTCTGGTGGGTTTGGGACAGGGATCGACTTCCTATGGGATCGGACATGTGCGGGCCAATGATCGCATTCCGGGAGTTTTGAGTAGATTCTCATGGAAATAGCAGCTCAAGCTCGTTCGTAATGGCTCGAAGGCAATCAAAATCACCACCATCGGGAGGCAATAGCAGTAATCATAAACCAAAGACTGGTGTAGCAAATTCATTTCAAATATCATCTAAGCAGTGACGTGGCTGTTGTCAATAAATAAGTATGGTCCTCGGTAATGGCATATCTTGTTGATCGGTCTAATGCATATCGTGGTACACAGTTGGAGGTCGGTGTCGATTCACATATTTCCGGGATTCACAGAGACTTCAATGAACGTAACGATAAACGTAAACCTCATGCAACGTAAGGAATGTATCGATTTACCCGGACGCTAGTGATACAGGTTCGAGCCAGTTACAAGAGCTGCCACAATACGAGCCAGACCACCAGACAGCATCGGATAGCCTGTCTTATCCCCGGGCACCCACCGCGTCGTGCTGCCCCACCTGGCCCCATTTCCCGCCCAGTGGTCACCGGAACGGGACTCACCTTTCGTCGGGAGTGTAGTCGCCGGTCGCTCCTCGCACCAGGTTCAGCAGACTGCAGCTGGGCAGCAGGTCCGGCATGGTCCTCCCCTGCTGGGCGGCCACCGGTGCCTCCGGGGGGAGGTCGGCAGGAGGTGGGGGCGGTGGTGGGTCACTGGCGCGGCGCCGCAGCTCCAGCGGCGGGTCAGCCGGCGGGGAGGCGGCGGCGGTGGCAGCGTGCCACTCGGCAGCCCTGAGCGCCTCCTCTGCGGGTATCAGTTCGGGCACACTGTCTTTTTCACCGTCCGCCTTTGGTTGGTCGTGATAGTCCATACACTGCCAACGGCCGCACTTGAACGGAACGTTTGTCTCGATGCGCACCACTTTGAAGCGACTCTGCCAGTCGCTGGCACTACCCGGGCTGCCTGGGTTACCAGCAGCAGCAGCGGCAGCGGCAGCGGCGGAGCTCGGGGGCGACCCCGTGATGAGGTCCATCTCGCTCGCCGACGGCAGCTGCACAAGAGCACTAGCCTCGCCCCCGGACACCACCGGCACCGCGCCGGGAACCAGTGTGATCCCAAACCCGTCGGCAGTGGGGATCGCCGGCAGCACGCCGGTGGCCGACTCGGCCGGCGTGGTCAGCAGCGCGAGCGTCGCGCCGCCGCCGCCTCCCGACGACGTGGACGCGGCCTCTGTCACCACCGACGCGTCCTCGTCAACAGACTCGTCGCCGCCGTCGGCCCACTCGTCCGCGTCCGCGTCGGCGTCGGCGGCCGCTGCGTCGGCGCGACTGGCAGTGATCGACGTGATCTGAAATCCCATACTGTTGCGGGCGTCGCCGTCCGATTCTTCGATGTGCGCTTCAGGCGCGCTCGCGGCCGCAGTTTCGGCCATTGCGATTGAAATGCTGGCTTCGGACATTTGTTTGGCGGTGGCTTCGGAGGTTGGTGAAATGATGGCTTCTTTTGCGGTTGTAGTGTTAGTTTTCGTTTCATTACCAAATGCAGCTACGGTTTCGCACGCACTCTGGTTTGAACCTGCCGCAGCAGTTGAAGTGCTGGTTGCGGTGGCCGTATTGGTTCCCTTGATAGCAGTGACGGCAGTGGAAGGCGTGGCTGTGGTGACGCCGGCGGTACCAGAATCTACACCTCCACACGATTCCGTCTGACTGCTGCACACCTCACCGGCCCCAATAACCACGATGCCGCTATCTCTGCTCGTCGGCTTACTCTGCGACAGCTGCCCGTCTCGGCTACCCTGGCGACCTTCCACGCGTTCTGTGGTGAGACTAGCCGGTTTATTCCGCTTCAGAGGCGACTGTGGCTGCTGTGGAGACCGGTGACCCCTGGTGACTCCCGGTGACAGGGGCGAGCGCGGCTGTCCAGCGGCGGCAGCCGTCTGACGCACAGACTGGTGACAGATTCGGATCGAGCTGGGACGCTTGTGGGCGCCAGAAGAGTGGGGCTCCGAGGTATGTTTTGATGCAGTTGAGCTGCTCGATGCACTGGCAGTGGTAGCCCTGTGACCAGATCCAGAGCTAGTTCCCGGGTTCGTCCCTGAGACAGTGTGCTCCGACTTCTGCACTGCACCAGAGGCAGCCTTCTCATGGCCGCCAGCCACTACTCCTGCCATCACCGCCACCGCTGACGCCACCGCCGCTGCCGGAGACTTGCGCGTCCCAGTCGGAGACGGCTCGGCCACCGCGCGACGACCGCAGCTCTGCGAGCGACCGGCGATGTTGGGGGCACTCTTCTGACGCTCCACTGTAGGGGACGAGTGGGACGCCGCTGAACCTCCAGTCTGCCCGCGGTGACAGGAGACAGCGTGCGTCGAATGCTGAGCGTTAGTGGCAGAGCCTCTCTGATGCACCGCCCCATACCCCGTGTAACTAGAGTGAGACGTTGTGTGACTGCAAGACACACTCCTCCGCACCGCACGGTGTTCCTCCGTGGAACGGTGCTCGGTCACGTGATGGTCAGACGAGCCCCGCTGACCGGTCACGTGGTCAGAGAAGGTCACGTGCAGAGGACGCTGGCCGGCTGAGGCAGAGTTTGAAACATGGTTTCCGCTGGCAGTGCGGTGGGTGTCGCGATGGTTGACAACCATCCGACGCATCTCCGGAGAACTGGCAGCGTGACGGCTGGCCCGCCAGGGCGGCTGGCGCGGCTCCTGAGGCGACATGGGGCTCCCGTGGCTCCCGTGGCTACCGTGGTTACCAGTACTCCCATGGCTGCTATGACTCCCGATACTGATATGGTTGCCGTGTCTATCGAGATTGCTGAAGATGGTAGGGTGGTGTTCCATGGTACGAGAGCTCGCTGCAGTTGGCGAATGACCTGAGACGACCAGTGACACCGGGCGGGGCTGGCGACCGGACACCGTCGAGTGACCCGAGATCGTCGAGTGACCTGAGGTCATCGAATGGTGGCTGTTTAGAGCGGCCGGGCGGGCGGGCCGCTGCTGCAGACTAGAAGCGGAGCCGGTCGGATGGAGGGCCGGTCCGCCGGACGGGGCTGCCGGACGGTCCGGGACAGCCGGACGGTCCGGGGCTGCGTGGCCGACACGGACTGGTGCAGGGTGACCGGAGTGAACCACCGCACCACGGTCGAGAGGCGCCGCCTCGGAGGAGCTGTCTGGAGCCTTGTGGTGCTTCACAGCACCTGACATACTGGTGCAGAGTTCTTCGAAACAAAGTGCCTGCGTGGGGAGATGATGAAATATAGCATCAAAAGATATACAGACATCCATCAGAAATCAGGAGACAATGATATTGCAAGTCTTACTGACCAGATAAACCTATCACCTAACCTACTGACCTTGAAACATTTACATGACACACGCTATATAGGAACCCTGTCATGACTTTTAACATCAACCGCCAACCATAGCATAACACCATGTTTTGCGGCTCACAGTGTTGTGCATTGCAAGAACAATGCCGCACATTTACGCATCGGCATTGCGAATATCTCTGAATCTCTAATACGTCCGCAGCACGCACTCAGAAGTCAGACAAACGGAAGCTCAATGGCATGCAAAAACAACCCGTCACACTAGCGAACCAAGGGGAGGCATTTTGATTTACGACAAATCCCTCCGCCCGGCTCCCCCCCCCCCCCCCCCCCACACACACACACTACCACCATCGATGAAAATGTACTGTTTTTCGAGAATAAAACGAAAATTTAACCACCTCTGTGAGGAAAACTTTGTTTTAAACTAAACGACAGTGCATAAAGAATCGAAATCCGAGCAGTTTTTTCAATTTGTAGACGCTTTTAGGTAGGTAGGTAGGGTAAGTGGCTCCTATAACGCACACCTAGTAGGAAAACTGCTTTTGAGACTTACTGAACCCTGTTTTGCTGATAAAATGGTCACAAGCAGTTTTCATAAGTGTTAAAGCCGAGTATCTTTTTATGTTGGCTGCAAAATGGATCTTAATCTGTCGAGTTTTTCTTCTGTTGGCAGGTATCTTATGTTAACGGCACATGTCTTATATATATATTTTTAGCGTTTGTCTCGTGAAGTCAGATTTAATTTGCTGATTCAATTGTTGTTTCGTTGGCCAGAGATTATGTTATTTTTCTATAGGTTTTGGTATCGCTTTTTTGTCATTTTTATGTTTTATGCTTTTGCGTCCGTTTACAAAATCACCAAAGGACAGTGAGCGGGTGAGCGGCGCGAAGCGGAACGAACGAACCTGAACGAACGAACGAACCTGTACGAACGAACGAACCTGTACGAACGAACGAACTTATACGAACGAACGAACTTATACGAACGCCAACGAACGAACGTTAAATCGGCGGTGTCAAGTTCTTGCCGGTGGCTGCAGACCTGAAACAATCCGTGAGTTTTCTTTGCGTTTATGTGTTTGTGTGCTATGTGTTTCGTTTTATTTGGTTACTACTTCTATCGTACTTATATTTGGTTACGTCTTATATCGCTACTGACTGTCTTTTTTAATTGTCATACTTATGGACCTGTTGGTGTTTTGTTTCTTGCAGAAAACCGTTTTTAAATACAATGAGTATTGGATCCTGAGGCTCCACCGGTAAAAGTTTTGGATTGGTTTGGTATCGTCTTACTCCGGAAATTAAGAAATCAAGTTGAATCCAATGTTCGTCAGTACGAAAACTGCAAGAAGAATCAACAAGGTGGATTAATTCGATTCTGATCTGTGTGAGAGGCACAGTAAGTTCTGCAAGACCTTCAAATCTATCATCCCAAAATCTAAGGTACAGTGACTTCATATTATATTCTTCGGCGTTCTTCAGCAACCTCACGGCTGTCTTCTGGAACCTGCTGGGTAGGGGTTCGGGCTTCTGTTGTTGGGTCAGCTTAGGCCTCTGTCTGTTGTTGAGCTGGTTTGATTTTCTGTTGTTAACGAATACGATTACGAATTGCGCATTGCGACATAGGGCGAGTAGTGCTACTAAGTACTAACTGATCGGTAGTAAACGAACTTATATGTATGTACACAAGATCGAACAAGATCACGTATTGCTTGATGTTGAGGTCTTGTAATTTCGTTTAACTGAACTTTTAGTAGGTAATTTGCGTGACATGTAATCACGTTCTCACTGTCCTTTTATCCCTTTAGCCCAACCTTTTGTTATTGTTCTTAATTCCTTTATTCTCTTTGTCTTGTTATTTTTAACATATTATTAGCACTTATCGGCTAGCCATCTATCGTTTACTATTTCACCATATTTGGCTTAGCATCCATTTTGCAAGTCAGCATACACTGCTACCCGGTGCTATACACCCAACTTTTAAACATGTCGGGAAATTTCAACAATATAACTCGGGGGCAGTTGCGAATACTGCTTGATAAGATGGGACAGGATACACAAGGGACAAAATCTGTTTTGATTGAGAGACTTCAAACTTGCCTAAAGGAAGATAATTCTGCATGCCGCTCAAATAGCCCAGTCGTGCCTTTACAACCGGACGCTGATGACGTGCCAAGGCTTAGCACAAGATCACCATTAAAACCTCCCGATATTTCTGGCCTCGAGGCAGCACGTATTCATTGGGAAGTAAGTTCACAAGCTTCGGCCTCGTCTTCGATAGTCTCCGAAAGAGTACGCCGTGCAGGACTACAGGCTAGGGCATCATATTTAGAGCAGAAACATTTGCTAGATCGCCAAGCGCAGGAACTTAAGGCTAGGCAGGAGATGTTGGAGTTGAAAATGCAAATTGGGGAAGTCAGTGCGAGGGAAGCAGCGTTAGAAAGGGAGGAGGAAGGAATTGCAATGGGTTTTCAGGAAACTGAACGTGATGACGCCGCGTTTCGGGATAACGCGCCAAACATGCAATATGTTTCTCATTCTCCCTCAGCTCATTCGCCCTCAGCAACTAGGGACCACTTAGAGGACGTTCATGCCTCACAGTCAGCCCAATCGAACGTGCGTAGCGACATAAATCCTTCTTATGACCTGGCTAGACGACTCCATCTTCCTCCTTTGGAGATTTCAACGTTTGATGGAGATTTAAGTAAATATAAATGTTTCATGCGGGCTTTTAAGTCAAATATTGCTACAAAGGTAGATGATGAAGATGAAAAATTGCATTATTTATACCAATACACTTCCGGACGACCAAGGGAGATTGTCTCCACATGCTTACACCTGCCACCAACGAGAGGGTTCGTGGAAGCGGTAAGTTTGCTGGATAAACGTTACGGGTGTCCGTTTCAGGTGGCGTCGGGTCTGGTCGATACCCTGATACAATGCCCCGCGGTGAGGCTCGATGACGTCCAGGGATTAGAAACGTTTGCTATTCAGTTGAGGGGAACCATGAATGCCTTGTTAAGCCTCCCATGCGGAACGGATTCAGTCGACATCAAAACCGTCCGTTTGCTCTTAGACAAACTGCCTTCGTTTTTTAAGGATAAATGGCGGATCAAAGTCGATGATATTGAACAAACAGAGCAGCGAAAATCAGACTTTAGAGACTTTGTTTACTTCATTGAAAGGGAGGCGCGCATTGCATCCAACCCGTCATATGGGAGACATTTAACAAATGTAACGAAAAATTACCAAGATAGAAAACATGAAAGCAAATATCACGCGAGAGGGACACTTTTAGCCGGTAACGTCAGCTCTCATCACTCCTCGTGTCTTTATTGTCAGCAGGATCATGAAGTCGCCGAGTGTCCCGAGTTGAGAATGCAGAGCAGAGATGTCAAAATGACGTTTATACGGTCAAATAAGCTTTGCTTTGGTTGTTTGTTACCGAATCATTTAAGCAAATATTGTGAAAATAAAAAGATTTGTACAGAATGTGGGAGTCGGCACCCAACTATCCTTCATTTTGACCGAAAACAAACTCCACTCTCAACAGTCACTTTGGGCCATCTTGCATCAAGTGGAGGAGCAAAATTGCAAGTCGTACCAGTGTGTGTTACGTTATTTGGGGTGACGAAGTTCACGTCTGCCTTTTTGGACTCCGGCAGCACACATTCGTTCATTTCAAGAAATTTACTCGCTAGTTTAGGGGTTGAACCAGCCGAAAGTACTTCAATTACTCTTTCTACTATCAACACAGATCACAAATTTGAAACATGCGTTGTTTCGAAGGTTACCATGGAGGATTTACAACACAACAATAAATTAGAACTTCCTCCGTTATTTGTTCTAAATAAGATCCCAGTGTCCATCGAGGATGCCCCGAACGTTAGAGATTTAAACAAATGGCCGTACTTGAGACAAAACGGGGTATACTTAGAAGAAAACTTTAAGCACGACGTAGGCCTTCTACTTGGGAATAATGTGGCGGCGGTGATGGAGCCGTTTGAGGTGGTTCCCAGTCAGAACGGCGGGCCATTCGCCGTGAGAACCAGGTTCGGATGGGTCCTAGGTGGGGTTGATAAGGATTCTCCAGTTCGTCTGAAAGTTAACCAATTGCAAGTGGCTCTTGACGACGTTTATGGTAATAGGGCTGAATATCGGTTGGGTCTGTCCGCAGAAGACATTAGGTGGCACGAAATGGTAAAGGCATCGTGCCAGCTGATAGATGGTCGGTACGAAATAGCCCTGCCGTTTCGTGATCCAAGTCTTAAACTTCCAAACAATAAGTCTGTGGCTTATAGGCGCCTTGTGCAACTGAAGCGCAGATTCGAGAATCAGCCCCATTTCTTGAGAGAATATGCCAAGCAAATTGATAAACTGTTAGACAACGGCTACGCTGAAAGAGCTCCCGATCTCTCGAGCAATGCAGAAGGTAGGATATGGTTTGTGCCCCATCACGGAGTCGAACACCCTGTTAAGAAAGGCAAATTACGCGTTGTTTTTGACTGCGCTAGCTCCTTTCAAGGAAAAAGTCTAAATGAGGAGCTTTTACAAGGACCTGACCTTACCAACACCCTGACAGATGTTCTACTTCGTTTCCGACAAGAACCCGTTGCCTTCATGGCGGACGTCGAGGGTATGTTCTTACAGGTGAGGATTCCCGAGAAACAACGTGATTTTTTGCGTTTCCTATGGTGGCCCAATGGAAACATCGCCTCGAATCCTAAGGAATATAGGATGACAGTTCATCTTTTTGGCGCTGTTTCCTCTCCTAGCTGTGCAAATTTTGCGCTTCGTCGCACCGCTCTAGACAATGAACGGTTGTACGACCCATTGGTGTCTAGGACAGTTCTTAATAACTTTTATGTGGATGATTGTCTTGCATCGACTGGAAAAGAAGATGTTGCTGTGAAGCTGGCATCTGATCTTAAGCAATTGTGTCTGAGAGGTGGATTTAATCTCACCAAGTTTGTTAGCAATAGCGTTACAGTTTTGAAATCCATTCCAGAAGTTGACTACTCGCCCGGTATCCAAACACTAGATTTGAAATCAGATACTTTGCCTTCTGAGCGAGCCTTAGGCGTTGGCTGGAACGTTCGTTCTGATCGCTTAGAATATCAAGTTGACTTGCAAAAATTTCGGGGCAAGCCTGTCACAAGACGAGGGCTTCTGTCCGCCACAGCAGGTCTTTATGATCCACTGGGGCATGTTGGTCCGTATGTAATGCGGGCCCGAATGCTCTTACAAGAGCTGACTCGCCTTCGTTTAGGTTGGGACGATGAGGTGCCATCCCACTACCACAGACAGTGGAAGCAATGGTTAGCAGATCTAGAATGTCTATCCCAGTATAGTCTTCCCAGGTGCATATGTTTCGGTGGCCTTTCCTCTGCCGTCCTCCTCGAGCTGCATCACTTTTCGGATGCCAGCGAAAGGGGGTACGGGGTGGCCTCGTACGTGCGAGCCGTCAATGGAGACGGTCAACTGTCTTGCAATCTTTTGGTCAGCAAATCCCATTTAGCACCAATTAAGCCTCTCAGTATCCCAAGGCTGGAGCTTTCTGCTGCAACACTAGCTGTCAAAGTCAATTTAGAAATACAAAGAGCGTTTCCATTCGATTTTAAGCCAGACATCTTCTTCTGGACTGATAGCACTACAGTGTTGAAATATATACAGAATGAGGCAGCGCGATTTCATGTGTTCGTGGCAAATCGTTTGGCAGTTATACGAGACGGCTCTTCAATAGACCAATGGCGATGGGTTCCTTCGGAGTTAAACCCAGCCGACATTTTGTCACGCGGGTGCGATGGAACTACCCTTCTCAAAGAGTGTATGTGGCGTCAAGGTCCATCGTTTCTACTTGAATCACGGGAGAAATGGCCCCGATTCCCTGTCTTAGAAGATAATGCAGAGGACCCTGAACTAAGAGTGACCACTGTTGCATTAAACAGCCGAACAGAAAATGAAACAAAGATTCAAAAGAATTCGAGCATTCAAAAATTGATTGATCATTATTCCTCGTGGCAGCGTTTGAAGAGAGCAGTTGCGTGGGTACGACGCGTTATAGACACATTGGCTGGTAAACAGAAATCAGCACGAGCATCAGAGCTGACTGTAACAGAGCTAAAGTCAGCCGAGAATATTATCATCAGGGAACTTCAGGGTCAGTACTATGCGGAGGAGGTAGAGAATCTGAAAGCAGGACGGGAAGTGCGGCGGTCCAGCAGCCTTGTGTCTTTGGACCCCACGTTGGAGGATGGTCTTCTGAGAGTAGGAGGTCGTTTAGGGCACGCGATGGGCGTGGCCTATGAAAGTAAACATCCTTTGATCATTCCAAATAAAGGGCGAATTCCGGAATTAATCATACGGGATATTCACGAGAGGATTGGCCATGCAGGTCGTCAATGTGTCCTGGCGGAATTGCGTAAGAGCTTTTGGCTAATCAAAGCCAATACGGCGGTTAGGAGATGTCTCCACCAATGCCTCCGCTGCCGCAGGCTTTTTCGTACTACGGAGACGCAAAAAATGGCTGATTTGCCTGCAGATCGAATACAGCAAAGTGAGCAGCCATGGGTGAGTACCGGGGTAGATTATTTTGGACCATTCTATACCAAGAGAGGGCGTGGGCAGGTCAAACGTTACGGTGTCATTTTTACATGCTTGGCCATTCGCGCCGTCCACCTGGAAGTAGTCGAAATTTTGTCGTCTGACTCTTTTATATGCGCCCTCAAGCGCTTCGCGGCCAGGCGGGGCTCACAAATAAGAATCATGCGTTCTGACAACGGGACAAATTTTGTGGGAGCGGATCGTGAGCTGAAAAAAGAGCTCGAGTTTCTTGTTCAGCATGAGGCCCAAATTCGGAGAGACTTGATAAATCGAGGTATTGAATGGCGTTGGAACCCCCCTGGTGCCTCTCACTTCGGAGGCGCATGGGAGCGATTGATTAGGAGTGTTCGTAAGATACTGAGCGGTTTACTCAGGGAGCAAACATTTACTGACGAAACACTAACCACATTCCTTTGTGAAGTGGAAAGCATTATGAATAATCGACCCTTGGTACCAGTGACAAGTGACCCTCGAGACGACCTGCCGCTAACGCCCAATCACTTGCTGCATTTACGTTCTGTTTTGCTACCAGCCTCAATGGTGACAGATATAGATGCGTTTAGCAAAAAGAACTGGAAACGAGCATCGTTCCTTGCAGAGCAGTTTTGGCGACGTTGGCGTGCGGAATATCTCCCATTACTTCAGCCAAGGGCCAAGTGGTCAAGGCTCCAGACAAATTTGCAGGTAGGCGATGTGGTGCTTATTGTTGACAGTTCAGTCCCGCGGGGTGTGTGGCCTCTTGGCTTGATAGAAGAGGTCAGAACAAGCACTGACTCGAGGGTACGATCCGTCAAAATCCGGTGTAAAGGTACCACGATTTGGCGGCCTGTTCAAAAGCTAGTTAAAATCACGGAAAGTTAAAAATCTCTCAATCTGAATAAATTTGATCCCATAGTATCAAATGGGCCGGGTGTTAAAGCCGAGTATCTTTTTATGTTGGCTGCAAAATGGATCTTAATCTGTCGAGTTTTTCTTCTGTTGGCAGGTATCTTATGTTAACGGCACATGTCTTATATATATATTTTTAGCGTTTGTCTCGTGAAGTCAGATTTAATTTGCTGATTCAATTGTTGTTTCGTTGGCCAGAGATTATGTTATTTTTCTATAGGTTTTGGTATCGCTTTTTTGTCATTTTTATGTTTTATGCTTTTGCGTCCGTTTACAAAATCACCAAAGGACAGTGAGCGGGTGAGCGGCGCGAAGCGGAACGAACGAACCTGAACGAACGAACGAACCTGTACGAACGAACGAACCTGTACGAACGAACGAACTTATACGAACGAACGAACTTATACGAACGCCAACGAACGAACGTTAAATCGGCGGTGTCAAGTTCTTGCCGGTGGCTGCAGACCTGAAACAATCCGTGAGTTTTCTTTGCGTTTATGTGTTTGTGTGCTATGTGTTTCGTTTTATTTGGTTACTACTTCTATCGTACTTATATTTGGTTACGTCTTATATCGCTACTGACTGTCTTTTTTAATTGTCATACTTATGGACCTGTTGGTGTTTTGTTTCTTGCAGAAAACCGTTTTTAAATACAATGAGTATTGGATCCTGAGGCTCCACCGGTAAAAATAAGCATTTGCTTTCTTGATTTGACTTTTACCTTCCAGCGTTCCTTCATCATTTATGACATATAAGGCAAAACATCCACCAACGTCCGACGTGCGCTAATAGAGCACCGGTGCTCTTATGACGCACATTCAGCTGCCTCAAATGCGCACAAGAACAATTCCAACAGGTTTAATAAACATGTCGAGGTATTGATCAAATAAATCACTTTATTTCAAAGTTGAACACCATGAGCACATCATGAACTTTGAACTCGACACATCATGAAACAAACCATGAACATGAACGCATCATGAACACATCATGAACTCGAAACCTTTTCACTGACCCAGTATCTACTGTCGGCAGAGGTCACAAGTGAAACTTGTCTGTTTTGTTTCAGCGTCAGTGCATGGCACGCATGCCCAGCCAGTGCACACTTGACATTGTATCCACTCTTCACACGATCGTGAAAACTTCATGCAGCAGTATATGCATAGGCGTCGCCAGAGATTTTCGGTTGGGGGGCACTGGCGGATCCAGGCTTGCGTTTTGGGGGGGGCCAACTCATGCAGGAGCCAAACCTAGGGTACCCCCAAATCCTGTTTTCTCATCGGATTTAGGCCACTTATTTTTCGTCACAGCCCTGACACTATGAATATTTTTTTTTAACTAAAAAGAAAAATATATAAATGGTAGCCCACCCGACCCATGCCTTTATATTACTTTGTAAACACTTACCATTGCTTTTGTCGACCAGTTAACCCGCTTCGAGTCAGTGCTTGGCTCCATTTGCGGGCCGGAAGGTGATAAAACACCCCCTGTCTAACTCGGCTCCTGGGCCACGCACTGATTCAACTATGTTTCATTATCGTTTGGTGGAGGGGGCAAACGGGACACTTAAGGCCTCTGGGAAGGGGGCATGGCCCTAAATGCCCCCTCCCTGGATCCGCCAGTGTAAGAGACCATTGGAGCTGCAGTTGGGTACCTCAGACGTCAGGGTACGCCCTCAGATGTATAGGACTCGCATGGAGACCTCTTATGCTATAGTGGACTGAAAGGACCCAAAGGAGCCTGTCTAGGGCTCCCGGAGATAGACGTGGGCCCTCGGGAGTCCGCCAGAGCCCCCATGAGGGATAAAAGAGGGATGCCAAGTGCCTGCAATTGCATATTGCATAAGCCATAACGCCTTTACAAATCAATATACATTATGTATCAGTGGCAGATCCAAGGGGGGCCACATGGGTCATGACCCCCCTTGGTACGCCCGGGGGAACCACAGGCCTGTCAGGGGCATCACCAGCCCGCCAGGGGCACCACAGGCCTAGCAAGGGCACCACGGGCCTGTGAGGGGCCCCACAGGCTTGTCAGGGGCACCCCAGGTCTGTCAGAGACACAGAGACCTGCCAGGGGCGCCGCCGGCCTCGCAGGGGAACCATGGGCAAGTCAGGGGCACCAGAGGCCTAGCAGGGGTACCACAGGCCTTACAGGGGCACCACCGGCCTTGCAGGGGCACCTTGGGCCTGTCAGGGGCACCACAGTCCTGTCAGAGCCCAGGGGCACCAGCGGCCTAGCAGGGGCACCACAGGCCTGCCAGGGGCACCACCGGCCTCGCAGGGGCACCATGGGCCTGTCAGGGGCCCCACCGGCCTCGCAGGGGCACCACCGGCCTGGCCTCGCAGGCATCACGGCATCACGCAGAGGCACCTTGGGCCTATTGGGGGCAGCACGGGCCTGTTGGGGGCACTTTAGGCTTGTCAGGGGCACCACAGTCCTGTCAGGTCCCAGGGGCATCAGCAGCCTAGCAGGGGCACCCTAGGCCCGCCAGAGGCACCACAGGCCTGCCAGGGTCCAGGGGCACCACAGGCCTAGCAAGGGCACCACGGGCCTGTTAGGGGCACCTCAGGCTCCCGTGTCCCCCCCCCCCCCCCCCCGGATCCGCCAGTGATGCCACACCACGCGAAACATCGCCAACTACCAGCTGCCGCGCCATAATCACGTGCCAACAACAGTCTTTTTTTGAAGGTCGACTCCGCTCGCGCAACTTTTGACTGACCCTCACTGCTACCATATTGCTTCCATATTATGCTGTGGAAAGCTTTACTTCACCAAGTGGCTAAAAACCTCTATCAAGGTATATTTTCTTAGCAATTTTTCTGACGTTTTGGGGGGGGCCAAACAGGCCACTTTAGGCCTTTGGGGGGGGGCCATGGCCCCCGTGGCCCCCCCCTGGATCCGCCAGTGTTGGGGGGGGCAAAATCAACTTTTGTGTTAAAACTTGCCTTTCCCCAGTCTTTACTCACTCGTTTTACATATCATTCGACGCGCAATGGTGCGAGGAATCCGATGGTGACAAAGGTTTCCTTCTAGCTATGACATGTAATTTTTACAGAAAAATTCGAAATTTTGAAATTCCATGACAAAAACGACTGGTAGAATTATAACTAGTATATAGTGGCTGCGATTGCCGACGCACTGCAGAGGGCCCCTGTGCAGACGCTCGACTCTAATGATCATTACCCAGAAAAAGGTGAAAAACGCTGCATTTAATCGGATCACCCTGCTAAAACCTCCATTCACGCATGCATGCAGAGGTTTTACGTGAAATGCATAGGACTTATCCCAGCCGCCGATCGTAGCTAAGTTGGGCATTCGGCGGAGAGTGAATGTCGGAAGTGTGAATCGGAAGTATGAAGGAAGTATTCATCTTTGCTCTAGTGAGAGGAAGTGTTTTGTTCACTCGAGTGTGAACAAAAGTTTCTCGTTTTTCGTGTGAAGGGAAGCGCTGCAAACGTGCACAAAAACTGTTAAGGGAACCAAAAGTTACGCACGGCATAGCGGCAAGGGATCCATCAGAGATAGGTTTGGGACTTCCAGGCCATTTCAGGCCACTAAGGGTCAGTGCTGACTCTCAGAAGCATGCTTAGGGTCCCGGAGATCGGCGTGGGTCACCTCAAATATTTACGTGTACGTGGTGCCTTAGGGCTTTCCGAGCCCAATGTGGGGCCCTCAGAAGCCAGTGTGGGCGGCGGGCGCTAAGAGACTAGGCCCAGGGTGAGCCTGGAGCCCTCGGATAACAGTGTGAACCCTCGGGGTCTGTGTCGAATCCCTAAGGACCCTACGTAGGGACATAATAAACATGGTGTTGCGGACCTCAGAGGGACACGTGAGCTGTGACCCCTCAGATGCCGGCTTGGGGTTAGCAAGGTCTGTCGCCTCCAAAGTTTGACTGAACTATCAGAGGCCAGTTAAGGTTCTCAGAAATGTTCGAACTTCGAAGGCTCGAAGATCCCTGTATGGGCCCTGAGAGAACATGGACACCAGTGGAACTTTCAGAGGCCGGTTTGGGCCCTCTGAAAGCTTCTTTAGGGCTCAGTGGAGCTCCTTAGGAGCCTTTGTTTAAAGCAAGCTCATGAGCCCTGCGACACTTGTACGGTACTTGAGCCTGTCGCAGACATTTGACGAGAGTTGAGAAATGCCCCTAAGATTTCGTTTCACGCTTTGAACGAAAATTGTGTCAGCACTCCAAAACTTATGAAAATCAGCTGTAAAATGTAATTAAGAACGAACTAGGAACATGGAATGGATCGCAGCATTGACATTTCTGAGTCTGGACTCGGAGTCTTGAAGATTTTGGCGACTGCGAGTCAGACTCTGGTTTGAACTGCACGCTCCAACCGAGTCTGACCTCACAGGCATTCTCAGAAAGGTACCCCCATTTTTTCCCGACTCCAAAATCTCATCGGATCTGTATCGATCTCAGGGGGTGCCCGGTCCGAGGTTGGGGGGGCAAGCTGCCCCGCTTGCCCCCCCGTGGCGACGCTAATGAGTATATGCATGTCGTCTCACTTTCTGATGACTGCTCTTCATTGGGCTTTACCTGTTTTATTTTCACGTGTCCATGTTTGGCTGTTTTCTTTGTTTTTTCCTTGTTACCGTCGGACTCAAGCAATGCCCTCTTTACCAGCACAGCATCTCTATTAACTGCCCTTCGCTTACCTTTCCTGCGCACGCGAGGGGTTGGCATCACGTCATGCAGACTTCTATCTAGTTCTTCGTCGTCCCGCATGGATACGGAGTCAGCACGAGATGTTCCATCGGCCGAGCGCCCGGGCCTGGCGTCACCTGCCGAGCTCCAGGGCCCGGCGTCACCAGTCGAGCGCCCGGGCCCGGCGTCACCAGCCGAGCGCCCGGGTCCGGCGTCACCAGTCGAGTGCCCGGGTCCGGCGTCACCAGCCGAGCTCCCGGGCCCGGCGTCACCAGTCGAGCGCCCGGGCCCGGCTTCACATGCCGAGCGCCCGGGCCCGGCGTCACCTGCCGAGCTCCCGGGCCCGGCGTCACCAGCCGAGCGCCCGGGCCCGGCGTCACTAGCCGAGCGCCCGGGCCCGGCGTCACCAGCCGAGCGCCCGGGTCCGGCTTCACATGCCGAGCTCCCGGGCCCGGCGTCCAGCTCCACCGCCGTTTTGCCAGCTCCACCGCCGGGGGTGGAGCTCAATGCCGCATTCTACACTGTGCCAATGCCTAGCATGTCAATTCATCGTGATATAAGCTGTTCCTTGTAAGAAAGAAGGCTAGAAATCATCAGATGTACTGTGCGCATTTGCAGCACTGAAAGTGTGCGTCATTGCAGAACCAGTTGCCCTAAACACACACACCTGACATTCAGCCCCCTCCCGTCAGCACTGACGCATTCTGGGTAAAGCATGCACGCCTAAACTGAGTCCCGTTTCATTCCCATCCGGTCAGTGCCCATCGATCTTTCCGGCCTATTCAGGTTTACGCGAGAAGTGCATGCGTCTTAGAACATGCATTATTGCTTCAGGCACTTTTTTGCTGAAGAAACATTGCACCTCAATCACAATATCCGCCATAACTACTCACCTTTTGAGCCGACAACACCCCACCGCCGTCCACACGCAGCACAAATGTCGCTGGAAGTGATTGACAGCTGATTTTTTCGTTCCTGGCTTCTGCTGAAGGAACTACATTAAAAAAAGTTCTTGGTGTGCGCTTTTAGGAAGTGT